GCTGTGCCCGCGGTCTGTCAGCGAGCAGGGGCGGGATGTGCTGCCCGTGTGTTCCCCACTGAGAGGGTTCCTGTGCACAGACACCAATTTTAGGGAGAATAAAGGAATAGGAAAGCCGGCTTCGCAGATGACAAAGAACAGGTGTTCGTGTAATCATGGGGGACTTGTCTGTGTCTGGGAGCCTGAGAGTTGTTGGGTTTTCTTACCACAGCATAATAGAAACGATCTGAGGGAGGATTTTTGAGAGATGAGGGTGTTGTTTTGATTGATGGTGCTGTTGACCCACCCTGGCTCAGCTCGTGGTTGTGACAGTGGTGCTGCTGCCAGGTACTTCCCTTAATATTTCAGATCACAGCACCTGCGAGTTGCTGAACCTGAACTGCTGCTGTTAGACACAGCCCTGGCTGTTTCCTCCTGATTTACTATAAAAATGACAACTTCAATGCTTCCTGAGGATTGCTGGCTTGATTTTGCTGCATCTTTTGCCAGCTTTGGGGAAAATAATCACATGAGCCTTTAAGAGATGCCAGGATGACATACAACAGTGTACCAGCTCCCAGGAAAAAAATCCTAGGCTTGATTTATTAAAAAGATTGGACTTAATCAGGAGGCTAATTTCTCTCCCCCTTTTGCCATTTGGTGATGTTCCTTTGTTTGCTGTTTCTCATTCTCTTTCAAGGCTGTGTCCCTAAGGAAGGGTCATCCCAGGCAAGGCCCAGGCTGATGGGTGGAGTTGTGGATTTTCCACCACATGGAGCCATTTGGTACTTCAGCCTGGCCTTAGCAGAATTAGGAACTAACCTGGTTTATTTAGAGTAGTGTTAGTACACTTTTACCTTGCAGAATCTGTCCTTCCATGAGTTAGATTTTACAGCAGGGATCTACATCTGACAGTTGACTCCTCACCTGTTTGAAAAGTGCTAAATGTTTTGATTGAGAAATAATAACCTGAAATGAAAAAAAGACTGGAGGGAAACCTGAAGTTAAAATGACTAAATTGGCATTCCTCGGACTTGGTGCACCTGTATTAAATTCCACTTAGATTTAAACCATGATTTTTATTGAAGTGGGTAAATCTGGATTGTTCTGTTTGGCTTTATACCCAACCTCAGCAGATGCCAGGCTTTCCTGTACTTGTATGGAGCAGTGGCACCATCAGGAGGACCAGGGATTGTCCTGTCTGGGGAGCTTTGGGAGGAGAGCAAGGGGCACCCTGAGAGCTCAGGTAGTGTCCACTTCTCTCCTTGTGCCAGAGTTGTTCCTCTGAGAAAGGCAGAAAGAGCCAGAAAGTCTCTCTTCCTCTGTGACTCTGGGCTGCCAGAAGAGGTGGCAGTGATGACTTGAGGTGATCAGAGATCCATTTTACATCCTGTCTGCTCTGGTTTAATTGCTGAATAATTCATTGTTCCTGCTGGCTTGAGGATCAGAAGTGAGGGAAGTTTGGTTTCCAGTCACTGTGGCTTCAGCTCAATTGGAAATGAGTTTAGCTTGGACACCGTTCAGGTCAGTGCCAAACAGAGCTGTGGATCATTTGACTCCATTTCTAATGCAGTTTTAATTAAAGCTGTGGGAGCCAGTGCTGTTTAGCCTTTATTGATGATCTGGGCGAAGGGATTGAGTGTGTTGGTGGCAGCATCAAATTGGGTGGGAATGTTGGAGGGAAGGAAGGCTCTGCAGAGGGATGAGGAAGGCTGGGTTGATGGACCAAGCCCAATTTTAGGAGACCACAAGATGAAGTGCCAGGTCCTGAATCACAAGAACCCA